CCGGAAAGCTTAAATATGAATTCTGTGTGAAAAATGCTAAATTTTGATATTAATATGAATATATTTGACTTCGGTCAACATTTTTGGTAAACGGACCCGGACCAGTGATTTAACGGTCCCGGAGGGTCCGTAGAAAAATATGGGACTCGGGCATATGCCCGGAGTCGAATTCCGAGGTCTAGAGCCCGAGAAATGAATTTTTCTGTAAAATTATTTTTCTGAAATTATTAAGGAAATTGGAAATCGGAATTGATTAAAAGACTGTGGTATCAGGCTCGTAGTTTGGTTTTGACGCCCGGTACATGTCTTATATATGGTTGAAGCGCTTTCTGTAAAATTTGGTTGAAAACGGACGTCGTTTGACGTGTTTCGGACTTGAAATGGAAGTTTGATGTTATATGAAAATTTGGAAGAAATTATGAATTTTGAGGTTTAATTCGATGTATATGATGTTATTTTGGAGATTTGATCGCGCGGATAAGTCCGTAGGATATTTTTGAGGTTGTGTGCATAATTGGTTTGGAGCCCTGAGGGCTCGGGTGAGTTTTGGATAAGTGACGGATTACATTTCTCATTTTTTTTGAAAATCTGGTATTTCTCAGTTCTGGTGTCTTCGCATTTGCAAAGAAGTACTCGCAAATGCGAGTCCGCAAATACGACTATCTAATCGCAAATGCGAGGAAATGGAGGCCTGACAGGTTTCGCAAATGCGAAAGAAATCATCGCAAATGCGAAGGGCCATGGATCGCAATTGCGAGGCCCCTTTCGTAAATGCGAAAGTCCCAGTGTTGGCCTGGCTTCGCAAATGCGAAGCTGTGTTCGCAATTCCCAGGTTAGCAGGCCGGGGTTCGCAATTGCGAACCCAGTTCGCAATTCCCATATCCGAGGCCCAGCAAATTTTATACTTAGCCGAATTTTCATCACGTTTCACCATTCTTTCAAAACCCAAACACCATAGGCGATTTTTCAAGAACAATCTTCATCCGAAATCATTTGTAAGTCGATTTTTACTCAATTATTTCAATCTTTAACATCATTTAACATGTTTTCCACTTAAAATCAAGGATTTTCATGGGTGAAATTGGGGTTTTTGGGCAGAACCTAGGTTTTCTAAAAATTGGGGATTTGGACCTCGATTTGAGGTTCGATTTCAAAACAAATTACATATTTGAGTTCGTGGGGGAATGGGTAACCGGGTTTTGGTTCGAACCTCGGGTTTTGACCACGCGGGCCTGGGGGCGATTTTGGAATTTTTGGGAAAAACTTGGGAAATTCATTTTTATGCATTCAAATTGATTCATTAGTGTTTATTAAAGTAATTGAGCAATTTGTGATTAGATTCGAGCGAATTGGAGGTGGAACCGCGGGGTAAAGCGATAGTTGAGGATTAAGTGGATTTGAAGGCTTTGAGGTAAGTGTTTGGTTTAACCCTAGCTTGAGGGAATAGGAGTTGAGTCTTGTTTGCTAATTGCTAAATGAATCGAGTACGATGTATAGGCATGGTGACGAGTATCTATACATTGGTGTCTAGCATGACCGTGAGTCCTCATAATGTGATTATCATGATTTGGTTGTGATTTCCGTGTTTATTGGAGGATTTCTATATGTTGTGAATAACATGTGTACGATGATATGATCATTTGATTCCTAGGAGCATTGGCTCGAATTATGATACGAATATTGAAAGTATATGAAATGACTTGATTCTTTGGAGCGTTGGCTCAAAATGGTAAGGTGGATTATAACGTAAGAAATGAAAGAAAGAGAAGGCGTTGTTGGTATTTTCCCTTGTTGGGACGTTTTGTTGAACTTGTTGGTTTCTTTTCCCTTGCCGGGATTCCTTCCAATATTTGTTTATTTTGTGCCCCTTTTTTGTGACTATTGTTTGGGGAGCTAGACTGTCAAATGATATGGATCGGGTTGCGCGCCGCAACAATGATAAATGATATTTGAGGATTTAAGACTTCCTCAAATAAGACTTCCGCTTATTATTGTTGATTTTCATTGTTTAAATATTATTGTTGAAGGATTGTTTATTAAAGGAAAAGATCTAAATTTGGCTTGCCTAGCTTCTACGAGTAGGCGCCATCACGACTCCCGAGGATGGGAAATCAGGGTCGTGACAATCAAGCCTCTGAGGGCATCCCATCATGTCATCTCGGCCATTGTGGGCAAAATCATCAAGGTATACCAACTGATCAGGTGGTGGTGCGTACATAAAGTCATAACTTTTCCTCATACCCCATATACAAATATATACGTGTATATAACGCCATCTGGTCACGGGCCAATGTACATGTATAATTGAATGTAATGCATAAGAAGTGAGTTAATAAGAATTCTGGATATGTCATAAGACCCCATCTTGTATAAAATTGGTCCTAAACCTAATTTGGAGGGGATCTAACATACATCGAAGGAGAATTCATGCGGGGGAACACACATCACGCTTGGAGGAGGCTTCTAGCTAGTTTTTCTTCTCTTCTCTTCCTTTAATTTCATAGTTCATTAGTTCTAAAGTTTTAGGTGCTACATGAACGTTGTAGTTTGAAGCTTGAATTGTTCTTATTATTTTATGGTATTGGTTTATTTATTCAATCTTGCGCTTAATTATTTGATTGCTTGATCACCAATTGAATACCTATCTACGAATCTAGGATTGAACTCGGGAGGGGGAGTTCTAGATTGCAAATAAGATTGAGTAGAGCAAGATCTTGAACTCGAGCATCGGAAACAGATTGGCGGTTAGTATAGGAATATACCTAATAGCCTTGCTTGGTTATTATACGGGAATTATAAATGCGTTCTTGTTAATCCTAATTTCATAAGAATATAGGCGTTAGGTTAGCTCGAATAGGCTGGTAGTACTTCGGGAGAAGGCTACGAGCAATATTAACCCTGTCAATCAATAAACCAGATAAATTAATTTGACGATTTAAGTGGAATACTCAACGGGATTGTTAGCTAACCCATAGCTCTAGAATATTTTTTCCCATTAAATTCGTATTTAAGTTGTCCGACTTGTTTTCTTTAATCTCTTAGTTTACTACTCTAGATTAGTTTTAGTTAATAATCCTTAAAAAATCACTTGAATAGATTAATTGTTTGGGTTCAATTTAGTTGATAGTTGATCACAAGTCCCTGTGGCTACGATATCTAGACTTACAATCCTATATTACTTGTTGACCACGTATACTTGCGTGTGCGTTTGGGAGCAACAAGTTTTTGGCGCCGTTGCCGGGGACTTAGAAATTAACTAGTCTACTAGATTAGATTTTTACTCTTTGTCTATTCAAGTTTTTAAATTTTTATCTTAGTTTAAAATTTACTATCTTTGTTGATATGGCATCTTGGGATGAGAATTGGTCGAATATTGATTATTCTTATTTTGGTGATCCATGTCCATATTGTGGAGGACCACACTTGTGGCAAAATTGTGAATCTCAATCTTATGGGTGGAATATTTATAATATGTGTGGTTGTCAAGGTGGCCATTCGGATGGTTGTCCTAATTCTTATTATCTGTCTCAGAGCTCTTATTATAATGTTTCTATTTATGAGTTTGATAGGAGCAATGAAGTGGAGGATATGGAACATGATGCTTGTATTATGGAAATAATGAGGCAAGTACCCGAGCAACAAGATGAAAATCAAAAGGCTATTATGGACATGATAAAGAAAGTAACCGAGCAACAAGTTCTTGACGCCTTAACTATCAAAAGACTCCAGGCTAGAATGGACGAATTAATGGCCAATTTCCAAGAAGAACCTCAACTCGACGAAGAGAGCGAGTTCCCACACGAAGATTACTTTGAAGAGGCGAATATCGTGAGACAATCTAGGCTAGAAGAACAAGCTCAACTGGTAAAATTTCATGGGGTTCTACGTAATGGTTTGTCAAATATGGCAGAACAGCTGATAGACGAAAGAACTGAGCTCAGGCAAGAGATAGACCAATTTGGCTTAGATATCCATGAGATGCAGGCTCAATTGAATAAAAAGTTTGAGGCGTCTGATGCCCAACAATCAATTGTTGTGGATACTGGCTAGCTTGTGGAGCGGAAAGAGGAATTCCAACTATTCGACCAAAATATTATTAATGATGTCAAGGTTGACGAAGGGTTGATAAAAGAACGGCTCTTGCTTTCTCTCCCTTCTCTCTCTTCAAGTTTCTCTCTCCCCGCTAGTGCTCTCTCTTCTATCTTCTGATTTTCCACCGGCATGACCGCCGGCGCCGGTAACCTCGGGTAAGCCATCTTCTCTCTCTCCCGCTCTCCTCCCTCCTTCCTCTCTCCTCCCCCCTCCCCTCTCTCTTCTCCACCACTTCTCTCTCTTTTCTCTGTTTTAACGCCGGAATTTCTGGCCGGCGACCTCCAATCGCCTCTCCTCTGTCTTTCTTCTCTTCTCCTATCTCCCTTCTTCTCTCTTATCCCCATAAACCCATCTCTTTCTCTGCTGATCGTTTTCCCTAACCCTTCTTGAGACCAAATTTCAGTTCTGAAACCTTGTAGCCTCGCTGGTGACCTCTGGCCAGTGACCCCCCATGTTGTTCCTCCCTTTTCGAGTCTGTCCAGGTCTACCCCTGCGACAGGTTGACAACCCCCCTCCCTATTGGTTTCGTGGTGGTTGTGTGTGATTTTTCAGGAAACTAGTTGCGGCTGCCCAGGCGAGCGCGAGGCGTATAGGCGAGTAGAGTGGAGCATCACCGGCTAGTGTGTGCAAAGGTTGGTAGGAGTTGGAAGGACGCACGACATATTTCTGTGACATCGGGTGCATCAAGTCATATTTCCAGGTTCTTTCCATCGGGAGTTAGTACCTCCCGCTTTCCTGTCTCTTTCTTTATGTTAGTTTAATTGTGACTATTTAGTTAGCATCACTTTAAGCATATTATTAGAGTACTTGTAGTTGCTACTTATTATTTTCTAGTTTGGGTCTGTGTTAGTATTTTCCGAAGTTTGTCGTAGGTATAGTGGCTGTGGTCTAGGATGGTAGAGTAATGCATGTCCTCGAGGGGTGCCGGGGGTGAGAAGGGGGTAGGGAGGGGGTCAGTGGATGGGACAGGAGGCAAGGAGGGTATTGGGAAAGAGGGAGCTTGTAGATTGAGGATCGGGTCGTGGAACATAGGCACACTGACGGGTAAGTCTATTGAGTTGGTGAAGATTCTTCAGAAGAGAAAGGTAAATATATCTTGTGTCCAGGAGACTAGGTGGGCAGGGTCGAAGGCGAGGAATGCGGACGGGTATAAGTTGTGGTACTCTAGAGTCGTGAGGGGTAAGAATGGAGTGGGTAACTTGGTGGATAGGGATCTTAGAGAGTCTGTGGTTGAGGTTAGGCGAGTGAATGAGGTTGTGCGTAGTATTCCACCTATTGAAAGGTTATTTATTGGAGGGGATTTTAATGGCCATATTGGGTCGGCTGCTGGTAGCTGTGGCGAAGTGCATGGTGGCTTTGGCCTTGGGGATAGGAATGGAGGAGGTACTTCGCTGTTAGATTTCGCTAAGGCTTTCGAGCTGGTGATTGCGAACTCGACTTTTTCGAAGAGGGATAAGCATTTGGTTACTTTCCAGAGTTCGGCGGTGAAGACTCAAATTGATTACCTTCTCCTTAGAAGGTGTGATAGAGGGTTGTGCAAGGATTGCAAGGTTATCCTGGGAGAGACCCTCGCGACTCAGCATAGGCTTTTAGTGATGGACATCGACATTATGATGAAGAGGCAGAAGAGGTATGCTCGTGGTCGACCGAGGATTAGATGGGGAGCTTTAACCGAGGATAAAGCCCAAGACTTGGAGGGGAGGTTATCCACTATGGGAGCTTGGAGGAGTAGTGGAGATGCGAGCACTATGTGGTCAACGACGGCGAACTACGTGAGGGAGGCGGCGAGAGAGGTGCTAGGGATATCGAAGGGTTTTTCTGGTAGGCATCAAGGTGACTGGTGGTGGAATGACGTAGTCCAAAGTAAAGTGTAGGCGAAGAAGGTAGCGTACGCGAAGTTGGCAGGGAGCACAAGCGAGGAGGAGAGGAGAGCAAATAGAGAGAGGTAAGAGGTGGCGAGGAAGGAGGCAAAGCTGGCGGTCACGGAGGCTAAGAATGTAGCATTTGGTCGTCTATACGAGGAATTGGGGGAGAAAGGCGGGGACAGGAAGTTGTTTCGGCTGGCTAAAGCGAGGGAGAGAAAGGCCCGGGATCTGGACCAAGTAAGGTGCATCAAAGACGAGGATGGTAGAGTATTGATGGGAGAGTCCCAGATTAAGCAGAGATGGCAGACGTACTTCTATGGTCTTCTAAACGAGGAGGGGGACCGGGATATAGCGCTAGAGGATTTGGGGCATTCGGAGAGTCTCCGAGATTTTAGGTATTGCAGGCGCATTAAGGTGGAGGAGGTCGTGGGGGCTTTGCGTAAGATGAGCAGGGGTAGAGCGACCGGGCCAGACGAAATTCCGGTTGAGTTTTGGAAGTGTGTGGGTAGAGCAGGATTGGAGTGGCTGACTGGGTTGTTCAATGTAATTTTTAGGATGAAGAGGATGCCGGAGGAGTGGAGGTCGAGTACAGTGGTAGCGTTATATAAGAACAAAGGTGATATCCAGTGTTGTAACAATTATAGGGGTATCAAGTTACTAAGCCATACCAAGAAAGTATGGGAGAGGGTGGTGGAGGTGAGGGTGAGGAAGACTACGTCTATATCCGACAATCAGTTTGGGTTCATGCCGGGTCGCTCCACTACGAAAGCTATTCACCTTATTGGGAGGTTGGTGGAACAGTACATGGATAAGAAGAAGGATCTGTGTTGATACCCAATTTTTCCCTGTATATTTTTTATATGCAAAATACTTTCAAAATACTATATATATGCATATATAAGTATGCCCAAGTGTTTTAGTATTTTTTTCCAATTCTTAAAGATTTTTAAATCAATTTATTGTCCATTTTAGCAGTACAATAAACAATCAATAATTATTCCCAAAATTAGCATTTTCGGTGAATAATTAATTTTATTTCCATATTTATGCCAAAATATAGCTAAGGTAATTTTTATACATTTTTTACAATTTATTTAGTATTTTAAAA